ATTTTGTAGTTGTCCAAAAATTTGTAATTATTTACTCAATCATGATGACATCATTAATCATTCCATGGGCCTTTGAAAAATATTTAGAGAGAATTATGAAAATTCGTTTGGTTTGAACTTGTCATAGGAACATTAGTCGAATGACAAACCATGCATTTATTCCTAAATTATATACTACTATTTAATTGAAGACAATTGACTTTATGCTCGTGAATCTTTTCACAAGAATATATTCTTTCTGCCTAGTCAAAACGTAGCTTGCTTGTCAAAATGCAAAATTGACCTCTTTCCAACACAATTTGCATATATGGATTGTTCTCAACTACTCCAACTTAGAGTTGGGTTTGACAATTATTTTTTAAAATTTTTAGTGAACTTTAATAAGAAAAATCAAAAACATTTTATTTATAGATTCTACTATTGAAGAAGTAAAAAACAAAAAATAAAAAAAGCTAATTCCTTTTTAAAATAAAAAATCTTTAGTGATTTTTTTTTTATTTTTTCAATAAATATACTTTTTGATCCTTTTTTCTAATTTTTTTTAATTTTTAAATAGGATAAATTACAAATACACTTTCTAAAATGGAATATTTACCAATAAATCTCATCTCACAAATAAGCACTCCAATTAGTCCCAAGTTTTTTTCTATTAATCTGTTAAGTCCTATTAGTGGAGAATTTCTTTCCGTGTGGTCTTATTTTTTATTTTGGTAGTATTTTGGTGGACAAATATACCCTTTTATTAATGTAACAGGTATGATGTGATACTCCAATATGGCAGGTATTAATGTGACACTCCAACAATGTGACACTTCAAAAAAATTAAAAATTTCTTATTGTACTTTTCCTAAATGTAACAATGTAACGGATATGATGTGACACTCCAAAACTTTTACTCCAAAAAAAATAAAAACTTCTTAGTGTATTTTTATCAAATGTGACAACATGGCGGGTATGATGTGACACTAAAAAAAATTAAAAACTCATTAGTGTATTTTTTCCAAATGTGACAACGTGGTGGGTATGATGTAACACTTCAAAAATAATAAAAATAAGTGACAACGTGGCGAGTATGATGTGACACTCTAAAAAAAATTAAAAACTCCTTAGTATACTTTTCCTAAACGTGACAACGTAGAGGGTATGATATGACACTCTATAAAAAATTAAAAACTTCTTAGTGTATTTTTCCCAAACGTGACATGTGACACTCTAACGTGGTGAGTATGATGTGACACTCTAAAAAATTTCTTAGTGTATTTTTCTCAAATATGACAACGTGACAGGTATGATGTGACACTCTAAAAAAATTAAAAACTCTTTAGTGTACTTTTTCTTTTAAATGTGACAATGTGGTGGCTATGATGTAACACTTCAAAAAAAATAAAAATTTCTTAGTGTACTTTTATCAAATGTGACAACGTTACGGGTATGATATGACACTAAAAAAAATTAAAAACTCCTTAGTGTACTTTTTCCAAATGTGATAACGTGGCGGGTATGATGTGACACTCTAAATAATTAAAAACTCTTTAATGTACTTTTTACAAATGTGACACTCTAACATGGTGGGTATAATGTAATACTAAAAAACTCTTTAAGGTATTTTTTTTCCAAATGTGACACTCTAATGTGGTAAGCAAATGAGTCATTACACATCCAAATGGACTAAATGGATCACAAGAAAAAATATGGGACTATATGGATTACAAGTCCAAAATATGGGACTTATTGTTCAATCTCTCCCTTTTAAAATTTACTTAAAGTATGAATTGTGCCTGTGGTTCTGAAAATTATAAATATCCCATTGTTAGAATTTTTTATTTATCAGAATTAATAGAAAAAATGAAATTCTTAAGTAGTCTCTTATACAACAATAAAATTACTAAAATTGTTAATTAAAATATTTTTTTGACATCATTAAAAATTGTTAATTGCCTTAATGACTTATTAATAAAATGAATATTTTGTTATGTGATTAGAAATTTGAAGGGGTGTGATGTAATTTTCAAAACTATAAGAGATAATTTTGTATTTTAAGCAAATTTCTGGAAGTGTATTTGTAATTTATCTTTTGAAATAATATCAAAATTTTATTTGGCAATCTATTTCTGAATACTATTTTTGTTTAAAAAAAAAAAATCAAGCAACCCACGTTTTCAAAAACATCAAAAAAAATTGTTTTTTAGATTTTGAAAATTATTTTCGCACAAAATAAAAAGGAAAAGTTACTCATAAATCCTAAATGTTGAACTTGTGTTCCATTTGGTCCTAAATTATTCCTTGTGATCCATTTGGTCATCTCTGTTGTGTAAAAGACACAAGTGCCATTGGTTTGACTTGTTCAGCGTGACAACTGTATGCCTTAAATTGGTTGTGTATGTTGGTTGTTTGCGGTACGTGTTAGTCACGTGCCACTTTATGTAAGGGTTTACCTGTTGTATGCTGAATACGTGCCATGTTATGCGCGTGAATGGGTGACAAACAACACAAAAGTGCACTAAGGCTTTTTATACTTTTGCTTTGTTAGGTGGTGCATTACACGTGACACACAGCCACATTGGAGTGTCATATTTGGGAAAAATATACTAAATTTTTTTTAATTTTTTTAGAGCATCAAATCATACCTACCACGTTAGAGTCACATTTGAAAAAAGTATACTAATTGTCATCCTGCCATTTTTCGGGTGTTTGGTTGGCTAAAATTTTGAAAATGAAGTTTCAGTCTAAAGAAATCATCAAACAGCTGCTGGGCATACAAAATATGATATAAGAAAGCAAAAGAACAAGAATTGAATACTTGAGGGGTAACACAGTTAGGCTGACTGAGTGTAGAGTGAGATTTCTTGAAGAAAAGACTTTGACCAAGTTGGTGTGTGTGCCTATGTACATTTGTATTCATATAATATATTCGAGGAAGGGTTATGACTCGCTAGTGTTGTAGAAGATGCCTAAGACTACTGTTGAGATGATAGGAACCTCCTGTAGTTGTATGATTTTGAACCGAAAAACTCAAAAAGGAATCCATAGACTTTACATCCAATATGCTGAAATGGTTTAAAATAAAATTGGATTACTATTTTCAATATTTTCAATTGCATCAACCGAGGAAAATGAAGGAAATAAGTGTCAGAAAACATTTTGCAATGAGACAATTGGGGGCATTTTCCCAAAATAAGCTAAAATAGCAATCTATTTCCCAAACTAGGTCTAGTTTGGGCGGAATTTCCAAAATAAGCTGAAATGCTATTACAAACCACGCTTTCACCATATTTCTGGCCCAGCCGTGCAAAATTGGTAAAACCATAAAAACGTTACAAACCACGCTTTTAATTAAGAAAGTATGGTTACAAACCACGCGTTTAAAGAAATTTGTTTTATACAGAAAGCGTGGTTCCTAACCACGCTTTTAACTAAAATTTGTTTTTTTTTTCTTCTTCAAAAAACGTGGTTCACAACCACGCTTTTACTGTTGACTAAAGAAAGTGTGGTTATCATCCGCGTTTTAACCAAAATTTAGTTTTAAAGGAAAGCGTAGCCACGCTTTTTATACTGTTAATTATTATTATTATTATTATTATTATTATTATTATTATTATTATTCAATCTACATTCTATAATTCGCTCAGTCATCTTGTAGATCTCTATATATAAATTATTCATATAAAATATCGTATTGATAAACAATCTTAGCTACCAAATTTTATTATTTTAATATTTAAAAATAAATTATGTAATTTTGAAATTATGTTTCGCATCCATTATTTTTTTAAAAAAATGATAAAATTATATGTACGATTATCAGATCAATTTGATCTTTACATAAATAATTTATACATTAAATTTTTAAAAAATAAACAGCATGCATTATCTAAAGAGTAGTGAATTGTGTAAAAAATGTAAATTAAATATTTGCTTAATTTACCTGATATTTTTTAAATTGTTATTTAAATATAAAATTTTAAATTCCTCTACCGATCTCTCTCTTCTTGCCATCTTTTCCACTATTTCTCTTTGCTTTCTCTCTCTACAGATGCAGTATCCAAATGCCATTCTCTTTCAAATCTCAACTTTGATGGAAAAAATGGTTTTATGGTGACTTTAATGTGAAATTAATGTAGGTGCCAACTATTGGTTGAGATGAGATTAAATGGGTTTAGATTCTTTGTAACAAAATCTTTACACCACAAAAAGAATGACCAAAAATCATTAAGAATTGAATAAGAAATTGTCTCATAAAGTTAGCCTTACGAATAAGGTATTGGGAATTGTGTATAACTATCAATCCCACATTGATTGTAGAAGAAAGCTTTGATGGATATTTAAACCTCAAGATTTGGATATGGGTATGAGTCTTTTGGGGCATCCAAATTTTTCAAAAGAAGAAAGTTATGATGCTTCAAGGATGGGCTTGGGCCAAAACTATGGTCCAAGTTGGTTACGCAAAAATTGCCATACATGCGTGCTCCACCCGCCTGGACCGGGCTCGGGCTTGGGCTTGGGCTTGGGTTTGGGCTTGAGGCTTTAGAATTGAGGCTTGCTGGAATGGGTTAGGTTTGGGCTGGGTCAAGTTTGTTTGGTGGCTGCAAACATATACACATGTATATATAGAGTGTGTAACTTACACACTTACTCCCCATCGTTATGTATTACTCTATTAGTTTTGCAAGAGTAATGGGTGCATTTGCTGCCAGCCTTCATGGCTAGGAGACTCCTCCTCTCTCCCGTGTTGTGTATAAAAGGAGGCCATCTTCCTTGGTTTCAACACATAACTTTTTACTTCCATATTATACAGTCAGTCTGCCATATATTTTTCTTCCTGTGTGAGAAAGTGCTGCTGTTGTCAGTTCGCCAGAGCTAAATGGAAGGTGCTTGTATATTAGCGGGTCTATATTGTCGTATCTTGGGAGACAGACATCGATACACCTCCAACACCCACGGTGAGGCGGCGAATTTGTTTGAAGGAGATTGTGGTACCACACAGGCTTCGATTTGCTATTTTTTCTTCGTTTTATCTTGTTATGTATTTTTGTTCGATCCAATTATAATTTCCAACATATTTTCTTATTCTGTATTGTAATTTATTAAAAATGAATCTATTTGTTTATTTTATTTCACACAATTTGTACAACAAGCTTCGCTGCTTAAACTCAACAAATCCCAATAACAACACTACATATGTATATACAGGTTTGTGTACATATGTTGTAGAGGAAGAGAAAAGATAAGAAAGCGAAAAAAAACGCCGATGTTATCTCTACCGCTTATCTCTCTCTCAATTCCTAAGACCCTAGGTAGAAGAGGAAATGGAGGTGGTGGTGGTAGTGGATTTGCTACCGTTGTAGATCGATCTGCGAGATCTACACAGATCAACACATAACTCAGATCTGTGTGGCCGCCAACGATCTTAGACTCTGTGATAATCTCAGGTATGTTGCTTTTGTTTGATCACTTCTTGAGCAATTGCCATTAGATTTCCACAGTTTGCATACATATATCCCATTCTCTGGCCAAATCTTGCTAGCAAAACTTCTCTTACATCACACTTGTATAGAGAGAGAAAGTGAGGAAAGACAAAGAGAGAAAGAAGAAGGAGAAAGCTACGGCGGCAAAGTGGTGGTGGATTTAAAGAATGGGAGCTTGAGACTAGAATGTGGGCAAGTGCTGATCAGTTTCCACCATCTCTCATCTAGCTTTGTAACAGATCAGAAACCAAACCTTAGAAGTTTGTATATATATATATATATATATATAGAGAGAGAGAGAGAGAGAGAGAGAGAGAGAGTCACCGATTTTCTTCACTTTCGATGGAGGTGATTCGTTAATGGTGGCGTTGGTGGTCAGAGACGATGGAGGTAATGGATGTGGCTCGATGATGGTAGTCTTTGTGTTTGTATGTGTGTTTGTGTGTGTGTGTGTGTATGTAAAGATGGTAGTGGCAGTTTGAGGAGAAAAAAAAATGGAGTGGAGGTTGCTCTGAAGGAATGCCTATAAGGTGTTTGAGGAAATGCCACTTAAGTGTGTGAGGTTCTACATTGCCTTTATTCTACTTTCACAGCTTTCTTCTCATTCTCAGTGTATTTGTATTGTACATAATAACACAACTCAACACTCACAGAGATAGACTCATCACATCATCTTATCTTTTCTTTTCTTTTCAATTTAGATTTCTCCAATTCATTGCATCTGAGGCTTTATATGTGTTTGATTTGGTTTGTATGTATTTGATTTCGTGTTTGTTGTGATTTAGAGATTTAAAAATAGAGATGGAGAGTGTTAGTGATGAAGATAAACGCCCCGTTTGGTAGAGTTCTGGAAAAGTAATTATAATTTATAACCTAACAGTTTATATCTTATAACTGTGAACATAAACTGATTTTTGACTTATAAATTAAGCTTCTCCTCTCTCACTCAAAGAATAAGTTGATTTTTGACTTACAAAAAGTTATAAGCTGTATTGTTAAGCTGAACCAAACACATCAAAATAACTTAAATTAAGCTAAAAGCTGAAATAAGTTGAAAATAAGCCCTATCAAACAGGGCCAAAGAGAAGAGAGCCATCAATTTTAGTAACGCTGTATTTGGTTGGGAGATTTGAAGAGGGAAATGGAAAAGGTATGTGAAACTAGGTGAATTATAAGTATGTTTTATTTACATTTTACCTACCTTTTCTATTTCTCGTTCCAAATCTTTCCTCAAATCTCTCAATCAAACACAGTATGAATGAACAAATAAATCAATTTTAGATATATATATATATATATATATGTGTATATGCTACATTATATTTGAGTGTTAGTGGAAGGAAATTTCAACAAATATGGACAAAGAACAAGAGAGAAACCCACATATTTTAATTAGATAGAGAGGAATTCACAAATTTTGAACAAATATGGAAAAAATTAAACATATAGTTAAAAAATTTAACAAATAGAAAGTAATTCGAACATATAGATATAAACTTCAACATATAATCAAAAAAAGTTAATAAATAAATTAAGGGTTAAATTGAAAACAAAATATTCTCTCAAAATAATAAAAGGATTTCTCATTAAATTATTTCGTAAAGGGTAGACATTTTACCAACAAAAAAATATTTATTAGATCTAATGCTTTATACCTTCCTTAGATTAAATTTATCACAAATTTTCTCTTAATTTTATTGAAGAAAAAAAAATCTATGGATGTTATCCTCTATTTAATTCTTCTACATCCGATAATAATCAATGTGAATGGTTTGGAAAATATTAATTCTTAAATATTTAGTATTCAAATAACTTTATTATAAGTTAATTTCTACATACAATAGCGTGCATTCCTATTTAGGAGGTCAGCGGTCAAACTTAACCAAAGACAAATGTTGATTGTTTCTCCTTATTATGAGCGTTGTATTAAGTTGTTTATTTCTATATATTATGCATTATTTTTTATAGTGATTATTTATAATTAATTTCTGATTAATTGGCAAAAAATAAATAAATTAAGGCGACCAAAAAATTGTTAAAGAATCCCAATTTTATTTGTAGTGATTATTTTACTTCATCGATTTCACCTAATATGAGAGTTTTGCTGAACATGTATCTGGGGAGCCATAATGCTTTTTTAATAAAATTTGATAGTTCTTAAAATATTTTGTAATGCCATTTAGGATATATAATGCATTCCACTCCACAAACTATGTTTAGGCTGTTATGTTTAGGCTGTCGGTTGAGGACTCATTATGACAAATTTGTCATGATGTTCATATTGCCATTGCATGTAAACCATTTAAGGTGTGTTGCTACCTAATATAAGGTGTGATAATTCAATTAATATTGAAAAATTGTTTACAAAAAAATATTTATTTTGTCTACTACTAATGTGAAAATAAAATAAAATATGAAATCAGATTATGTTGTTCTCAAATTGAATTTTGTAAGTTTTACCCCGTGTATTGCATGAGTCAACTTTTTGACACATCGCTAAATCTATAAAATTGGTGCAAAAAATAGGCTTATATATCATTTTTCAAAATTTTAACGTTAGCAAACAAACTCCAAAATAATGGCATTTTGAATTCAAAATTAAATTTTTTTTTTTCAAAAAGTATGCATTCAAGTTTTTTCAAGACAAATATATATATATATATATATATCCAATTAAACAAAATTAGTAATTTCTATGCAAGGTTTTGCTTTTGGTTTTATTTTTCAACTTTTGTTTTTTTCTACACTGATTGCATTTTGTTGTTGGAGAAAAGGCCACGGAGTGTGATTCCCAGATTGTTTGGTTTGAGTTTGGGAGATGAGTTTTAGAGATAAAAAGTACGAAAAGTTGTTTGGTTTGGTTTTTTTCAAAAGATGTTTTGAAAAACATGTTTTGAGATAAAAAGTACGAAAATTTGTTTGGTTTGATTTTTTTTCAAAAGATGTTTTGAAAAACATGTTTTGAGATAAAAAGTACGAAAATTTGTTTGGTTTGATTTTTTTTCAAAAGATGTTTTGAAAAACATGTTTTGAGATAAAAAGTACGAAAATTTGTTTGGTTTGATTTTTTTTCAAAAGATGTTTTGAAAAACATGTTTTGAGATAAAAAGTACGAAAATTTGTTTGGTTTGATTTTTTTTCAAAAGATGTTTTGAAAAACATGTTTTGAGATAAAAAGTACGAAAATTTGTTTGGTTTGATTTTTTTTCAAAAGATGTTTTGAAAAACATGTTTTGAGATAAAAAGTACGAAAATTTGTTTGGTTTGATTTTTTTTCAAAAGATGTTTTGAAAAACATGTTTTGAGATAAAAAGTACGAAAATTTGTTTGGTTTGATTTTTTTTCAAAAGATGTTTTGAAAATTATTTTGAGAGAGAGTTTTGGAAAAAGTGATTGATTTGATGTGTATGAGAGAGAGATTTGTTTGGAAAATTTGAAACCAAACAAGTTTTGGAAAATTTTTTTGGGAAAATTTGTTTGGTTTGATTACTTTTGAAAACTTATTTGTAGAGAATTTTTCCCAAAATTTTTCACTTGGTTTCTAAACCCAACCAACCTGAAACAAACCTGCCCAACACATCCTATAATTCCAAATGAGAAAATAAAGGACAACAACAACAATTATACAATGACAGAATCTACGGAACCTGAGTCCGGATACAATAATCAAATGAGAAAATACCGGGGTCGTTATATAGGCTTTCATGATTTCATGCATTATTGATGTGGAATATAATGATGATACTGAATGAACTTGGTTACATGTATGACCAAACGTTTTCATTCAGTATAATGGCTTTGCAATGCTTATACATGAGTTATCAACAGGAAGAGAAATTCGTAACGAATCTTGACATGTGTACTTATAAATGTAGTGATTTCATAAACTTCAGGATCATATAACAAATAGTTCAAATACATCCGTAAGCTAGATGAACAACAACATTGTCTTACACTCTAGTAACAAAGATACAACACAACATAGAACATTGTTTACGACATTATTTCGCTCAATCACTGTCAATTCTCTGTTGCTTGCTTCTGCCATTTCAATGCAGTAAGTTGTCACATCGCCACAGTAAACTGTTTTTTGATGCTTGCTTTTTTAATACAGTAAGAAGTCACTTCAAACTGACGATTTTCGTACAAATTGGTGTTTGCAAAAAATTATAAATTAAATCATAAAATGAATCAAAGGCTTTAATTTTCTTTGTTTTAAAGCAATATTGTTCATAAACAACTATGAAATAGAGTGCAAGTAAATACCTCCAAGTGTCTTGAAATGCCCATGAGTTAAGTTACATGCGATAAAATCGAAATTATTTTCTCAGTCACAAACAACACTGTGAAACACACCCACAGTGAAGTACCTAGATGTAGAACATGTACCTCAGTCAAAAACTTATGTTGCTTGGGGTTCTTCGAATAATGAGGGGAGTAAAGTTGAAATACAAACTCAAACCAGGCATGAGAATGAGTCACCCACAGTCAAGTAAGAAGATGTTGAGCATGTACCTCAGTCAAAAACTTCTGCTGCTTGGGGTTCTTCGAATATTGAAGGGAGTAAAGTTGAAATACAATCTCAACCCAGGCATGAGAATGAGTCACCCACTAATATCTAGAGTTGTAATAAAAATAGCCAGTCCAATGGTGGCAAGGAGTCAGCTGTTGACAAAAATCAAATTTTGGGGAACGACACAACGTCAAAGGCAAATGGTTGAGGGTCCAGTAGAGGGAGTTAGGGTTCTTTGAGTGAAGAGGGCCACAGTGATGATAGGAATGAAGGAATGTGGGGTTGGCAAATTAAAGAATTTGGGTGCTGGAGAAACTATTTATTATTATAGAATTTGGGTCCAGTTGGAGGGTTAATCTATTCTATTATTAAAGGGGAACACCAATTTTGGTGTCATGAATCTGAAGCCTGGCTTACAAATTTTTTTCTATTTTTCCTAAAATGACCATAACTTGTTAAATGATCTATTATTTTAAAACTTATATCAAATTGTAATTATGGGTAAAATCGTAAATTACCAACTCAATAAATAACTTCCACTTCTCCACTTCCTACATTTTAGAAACTGCTGTGTAGTTCCACGTTTCACCATCTTCTCTCTTTTTTTTTTTAATTTTTTTTTATTTTATATTTTAAATTTATAACAAACTGCTGTGTAAGTTCTACAGTTCATCATCTTCACTCTATTGAAAAACTAAAATTTGTTTCTTTTTTTTTTTTTTTTGGAGAGAGACTATTCAAGTATTCAAGAAGTTTTTTCTTTCTTTCTGTTTTTAAGGAGAGGGGGGAAGCAGAGTATAAAAAATTTGTGTGTTTGTTTTCTTAATGTTGTACGTGTGTGTATGCGCACGTTGTTTAAAAAAATCAATGTTCTTAAAATTTCTATTATATTATCAGGTTCTGTACCTTTTTTTTTGGGGTAGTTTTATGTAATATGAAATTTTTGTGTGTGTGTGTTTCAAAAAAAAAGTGTTCTTAAATTTTTCATTATGTTATCAAATTCTTTGGGAAAAAAAGTACAGAATAAGAAATAAAATTTATGTATTTAATATTTTTGTGTTTTTGTAAACAAATAATTATATACTTAAAAAAGCAATTTTTTAAAAAAAAAACTATATAAAAAATTATATAATTTATTATTATAAAACGAAAATCCATGTGGTACCAAATGCAGCACAACTTCAATCTCTTATGTATATAATCACCC